GAGCCGAGGGACAGTGTGACCCTTGTGTGTGATGGTAGGCCTACTGAGACGGGGGTTAAAACTTCATTCATGTTTCATCAGACGGCATGCATATCGATAGATTGCTCGGGAAAGACAGATATCCACCTTTAGGTGAAGCATATGGTTGTGCGAGAGATACCCCTATACGTCATAGAGTTGTGATCGCATCAGATCGTAGTGATATTGACGTGTCTTTAAAGGAGGACCTATAATCACAGACTGGGATTGCGACTCCTTGATTCATCGACCTAACTTTGGTGACCCGCTAATGAGCCCCTACTTGGGCTGTGGGTCATGGGAAACACTAGGTCAGTTTGATAAAACTAGTGTCGTCTATAATCCACAGTTGAAGGTGGAGTACCCTATATTTACAGATTGAATTCTTAAAACCATATGGATCATTTTCCCATCATATTAATTTAATTGTGTTCATTTTATTATTGAAATGATTTTAGTTTTATGATTTGAATTTTTATGTATCTCTCAATATTTTATTTATGTTTTTTTTTTACTAATAAAAATACAATTATAAATTTTACAAAGTTGTAAAAATTCAAATATATATATATTAATTAGTTTTATTTTAAAACTTTTTATAAAATTCCATGGGGGCCCAAAGTGCACACGGGCCCACTATGTGGCATGTGGGTGGGGGCCCGCATGTGCCACAAAAGGGTGGCACACCCCATGCTTTGGAATCTTTGTTTGCTTTATGTTCAAATCTTTAAGTTACGGTAAGTTTGATATGCGGCATGTGGTCAAATCTTGTAAGAGAAGTATTGACCATGGCTTTATTTGTTTTATAGCAAGTTTGCTTTAAAAAGATATGGTCAATTTGAATAGATACTAAATATTGACCTTATCTTATTTATATTTGGTAGTATCTATTTACTTATAGTATTTGACATATCCTTATGGAAACATATGACATGGATCATGCAATTTTATGGAACACATGATATAAATATATTGATGGAAAAATGGTTTAAGGAAAGGGGAGTAATGGTCCAAGCACTTTCAATAATGTTGATGGCCCATTTATGGAATGGATGGCTCAGATCTATCATCCCACAAGTCATCTTGATCAGCGGTCTAAATTTAATCTCATGAAAGAGACAAACTATGTAAAAACCCTAAGAAACCCTAAACCTAAATATTCACTATAAATAGGGGTGCTCTCCCCCAATCTCTACACAACCTCTCTCTCTCCCATAACTTCTCTATCTCTCCTAGAGGGGCACGCCCCACTCTCTCTCCCTCGTATTTCTCTCTCTCCAAAAAGTTACGTAGTACTCTCTCTCTCATCTCTAGACCTAAGTTACTTTTAAGGGTTGGAAAAATTAGAGGAGGCCTAAGTTAATTTTGGGGGTTAAGGTTTAGTAGAGATTTTAAGGGGTGGTTATCTAGTTTGACATAAATCAGCTATCCCGTTTCGTGATTGAAGCTAGACTACAGATCCCACGCTATCGGTGTGGTGACTCAGTGTGGGGTGTAAAAAGCCCGGTTGAGGTAATCTTTGGCATATTTTCTTTTATTTGTTTGTTCTTTCATTTTATATTCTCAAGCATAATATTAGGTTGTATGAATGGCATCGAGTAGTTGAGATTTATTTTATTGATGTGTTATTTATTTTGGAATTTTTATTGTTTGTAATAAGACCATCTGTAAGTAATCTTGTTGCTAAAAATATAAGGGGTTATTATTAACCATCTGTGAGTGAAATTGTTGCTAAAAATATAAAGAGCTATTATTATTAAAAAAAAAATTTGTATTTTTCCAACAAAAGATCACATAGGTCTTTCTTTCAATTATTCCCTTCCCAAAATCATTTTGTACAATTTCTTAAGTATGGGTCACTTGCTCGAATGGAGATGGGAAATAGAGGAGAGAGGACCCAATTTCTCAAATGTTTTTTCTTCTTAATTTTGGGAATAAGTAACCTCCTTAATAATGAGTTTTTTCGAATTGGATTACATATTTAAAGTTCAATGGATAACTAAGTTAGAAGATAACTTAAAACAAAGGATTTTATGTGTGTTGACTTAACCACTTGAACCACTAACATACATCTCATGCTCCATTGCATTTGTAGTTGTACACAAGTTCCTTTTAATTAAGATAGAAGTTTGGAAGTTGGAACTGCTCCTAACAAACGAGGAAAACGACTGTTTGTCGGGATGCATTTGACCAACAAAACTGCAGTATGTTAAGAGAATTCATCCTAGTGGGAGCACATATTGCTGTCTATTCAAGGTTCCAAACTATGGGAAACTATGTATGACAAGTTTTTGGAACATTTTTTGTTGTGGAAGCCAAAAGCTCCAGGTTTTTATAGTATTTCCCTGTTTGATAATCGGAGGTGCTAAAATACGAGGCCTGGGAACTTCAAATTTCCATTAAAAATGGAGATGGTCGGTCCCATTCTCCCCATGGACAACCACAGTTTAGATATGGCTGATGGATTGCAGCGTCATTTTATAAATTTGGTTCCTATATGTTTTCTATTTTTATATTATTTGTCCTAAAATTCAGATTTAAATGACTCTGGCGGAGTTGTGTGGCTCACTAGAGGGGATCTCTAAATATAAAAAAAAACAGAAATGATTCTATAGGACTCTCTCCCACTCTTGTGTGTAGGACCCAAGAGGATCACTATTAAATTTGACACAGATCTTTAAAAAAATCAAATCTCGTATACAGGGTGGGGGAGAGTCTTATAGGAACATTACTCAAAAAAAAAAATGATGCTAGCAAATTAAAGTGACCAAACTACCTCTCAAAATCTTAGGGTTATGTTGGCAATTTCATTTTTAAATAATTTAATTCATAGTTTTTAGAGGTGCTTGAGGAGTGGAAAATGGGCGCCCAAATTTTTAGCATATTCTCATGCATATAAATAATAATAATAATTCAAATACTTTGACATGCTATCAATTGTCTGGTCTTGAGATTTATAGCCTCTTAATTGAAATGCAATATAGACTATTTGGTTATTTTGAAAATTTTGGTCTCATTTTAATCTATTTTTACTTTTTTTCCTAATATTAGGTCAAGGTGAAATATGAAGTCTGTATGTGGCTCATTTGGGCGTATCCGTAAAAAATTTAAAAATAATTTAAATAAATAAAATGATTAAATACCCTTAAAATTTAAGGGTATTTTAGCCATTTTATTTTTTGAAATACTTTTAAAATTTTCTACATGTACATAAGTGCAAGAAGTATTTATGCCTAAAATTTCAATTCAATATCATGTATAGAAAATAAAATGAAATCAAATATGCTCTTAGCCATTTATTTAGGGGTGACCTATAACAACATTATTTTTTCTTTCATGTGATCTAGATTATCCAATTAGTTAGAGATACTGTGGATGAGCTAGGATTTTAAAATCTCTTTCACTTAACATACCTCACACTAATATATTAATTTATGGATCTCAAGACCTCAAGACCTCTATAATTCTTGGTTCATCCAAACACAAGCTCTCAAACTTCTTAAAATTTCATACAAGTTCCCAAACTTCTTAGAATTCTACATAAGTTATCAAACATAGTATTAGCCAGTTCCAGATATTTAGTATCCAACTTCTAGAAGTTTAAAACATCATGTTCCTAAGGTTCTTCTAGTTTCCAATTATTAGACATACTATAAAGCTAGTAAGCTGGTAGCTGAATATACACACAGACACATGCAGATGTGTTTGATAGGGATTTTGTACTTTGCAACAATTTAGTGCAGGCTTATAACAAGTGTTATCAAAATCAGACGAACAACCGAATCTATGAGAGGTCTAATCTAGTTAAGTAGTCATACTGTTAGTCGAATAGATCTATCCTTTTACAAACTAATGGTTTAAAGTTTAAATATATGCAATAGTCTACAAATATTTTTTGAAAACATGACTAGTTCAAACCTGCTGGTCTAACTAGATAAAATTTGAAATTAAGCTAATTGTGATCAGCTTTAAACTAAGCTCAATTTTTATCACATAGCAGACCAGCCATTGTTGATAATCCAAACATTGGGCTGTCGTGTCCTGTCCGGCCCAAATATGTGTATGGGAGTGAGTAAATGAACAAGTTAGAGCATGAGTACTATCGTCTCCCAGATGTATAGTTTACTTCTGCTCCGTCGTTCACATGACCTATTTAGAGATTTTTTCTAATATGATACTCTGGGAACCACTTAAAAATTATTAGTTCATTATTTTCTAAAAGGAAAACATAATAAACTTGAGTTTTCTAACACTTTTATCTCACTATCTAAAAATTGAATAGTCTTTATTTAATCTGGAGATTTTTTTTTTTATGAGTAATGATATTATGAGACCCTCTTGTACCCATGTAGGACTCCAAACGATTATCATTAAATTTTGACACTCCAAAATATTATCATTACATTTTGATACATATCTCTAAAAAAGTTATCAATAAACCTATTTACCAAAATCCCACCCAAAATGGGATAGAGATTTGTGTCAAAATTTAATAGTGATCCTTTGGGTCCTACTCACATGGATGTGGAATGGTCTCATAGTGTTATTACTCTTTTTTTATATATAGAAGATACAATTAGGATTTTTTTTGTATTGAAGCTGATTCATGGGTTCAAGAAGTTATAATTTTGAGTATGTAAAATTAATTGTATGTGGGATTTTACCTGAGGCAATAAATGGACAGTATACTCCCGTGGGAATAATATCATTTGGCTAAAAGTTTATATTTGTGTCCTCAATGGATTTTGGCACAGTTCGAGCAATGGTAGCGGCAATCAATGATTTAGAGTTTTGAGCTCTGTAAATTTCTTGTCGTTTTACAGGCAGCAAGTAACGGACGACATCTTCATTCTCATGTAAGGTTTTACAGGCAGCAAGTAACAGACATCTCCATTCTCATGTAAGGTTTTCGTCTTCTTGGTTATTGTTTTTCTATGGGATTTTATATGTGTTCTCTATTCAAAGCCCTCTGATCCAAACCATTTTTTAATCAAGAGCAAGATCCATTAATTCTATTATGAGGCCAACATTTTCTGTTTCGAGGGTTTCAAAGAATTTAGGGTTTTCTATTGTTTAGTTCTGTTTGTTGTACTGATTTTATCAAAAGAAATGCCATTCTGTGGTGTCTTCTGATAATTTACAGCTACCTGGTATCGTTTGGATTCTATACTTTTAATTTAGTTTTATTTATTTTTATTTATTTTTATTTTTATGTTTTCATTGATAATAGCAGAAGAAGGCTCGTTTCTGTAGAGTTTTGATGCCAGATACATGCTCATTGTGATGTTTCTCTACATGTAATATTAAACTTCAAAGTTGTTGGGAATTGATAGTTTACATGGTTTTTATTGAGGCTATTTTGAGCAGAAGAAAGCTCATTCCAGGTTTTGTCATGATAAACTGTGGCGTCCTGATATTACGTCTTCTGCTTTATCCATTTCCTGTTGGTTTCTGCAGATGATGGGCTCCTTTTGGTGGAATATTGATGCCAGATAGAGGTTCATTGTAGGGCTTTTCTAAATTTACAAGATATCTAATAGAAGTTCTAGTTTTTTTGTTCACAAATTTTCTGAGTGTTTTGAATTCTTGGGTTTTCATGATTTGGGCTTTGTCTTGTAATTGGGATTTTTGAATTCGAAATCAAGTTCAGTATCAAATGGGGAAAGAGATCAATCACCCCGGTTACTCAAACAGCAGAGTGTAACCATTAATGGGCCCATTAGAAGATTAAATCTACAATGAAAACAAGTTCCGGGAATGAAGAGACGGCATAAATTACTGGGGCCTAGCATGTGTATTAGCAAAGGTTATCTGGTACTGAGTTGGATCCTGGATTTAAATGGGTCTGATTTCCTTTGCAGTTAAAACTTTTGTGCAATGACAAAGTTTCCAAGGAATGACACTGCCTTTTTTGTGGCCATTGGACTCCATGTTTAGATGTATACTCGAGTCTATGATATAAAATAAGAAAAGTCTAGTTTGATACTAAATCATCGTTTAATTCTGTTAACCACTCTTTGTAGTTATATTTGTCAAAAATATTTAGGAACTCGGCTCAGCTCAGGCTTGGAACTGGGGACCTGCCCAAGCTGAGTAACTTAGGTGAGTGGACTCGCCTGAGTAGTGTAATGGCAAAAAACCCTTCAAAACTAAGAAAAATAAAAAATGTTAAAATTAACAAAATAGTAAAAATCAAAGTAAATTAGAAACATCATTTAAAGTCCAAATAAGATAGAAAAAAATAGATAAAACAGGTATTTAGAAAAATCGATTTGAAGCTGGAGACATTCCAAAAAAGATCGAAAAAAAGTGGAAAATATCAAAGTAGGCAATATGCTAAGAAACACTAAAAAATCATCGTCATAAGCATTAAAGTTACATATAAAATATTTATAAATCATCAAAAACCTAAAGTTACATATAAAATATTTATAAATGTATTTTACGATTTATCATAATTTTTATATCCCTATATTTTATATAACTCCCATTTTTACATAAGTACTCGGCTCAGCAAGGAAGCAAGTCCGAGTAACTTGGCCTAGTCCGAGTTGACTTGACCAAGTCCCTGAACACTGCTTGACAGACATCCTAGAACTGTTGGTTCCCCTATATGCTTGAAAATGCTGACTAGTGCTAAAGAACACATCTATCTCCTTTGAACCAACCCAGGTATATTAATTTCTTAATGCTCCATCCGCCCAAGTGTTATGCACTGCAATGAAGTTGAAGAAACCCTATTCCATGAAGGAGAGCCTACAAACTTTGATTGATACGGATAGCCTGCAAATTTACAAGCTCAAAATGTGTTGTGTGCGAACATTTGGGTCCATTGTTCTTTCTTTAATGCTGTATGACTTGTTATGCACTTTGGACTGTTGTTTTCATTTTTTTATTTGTTTTATTTTGAAAAGTAACTTACAAAAGCAAAGATATTTTTTTGTTTCCCCTAGTATGGGCAGAATCTTGGAAACTTATATGATAGAAGGAGCTTTTCTTAAAGAATTAGTATGCATATTCACTACATAATATTGGGCATGTATGTGTGTGGTTTCCACATACTTTGGTTGGAGTTCCTATTCTGAGTAGCAGTTTAAGTGACTTTAACAGTCATATCTTATGAATCGAGAAAAAGAGGAACGCAGGCAGGCATCAGCATGAATATATTAAGGAAAAAGAAAAAAAACTAAGGTGCAGATATTTGAGGCTGAATTCTCTATCTGTGGCACAAATGCTCTTCCTTTTCCTGCTTTGAAGAAGCCTCCATTTTTTCTTTTCCCAATTTCTATTTACTTTTACAATTTTCTCTGTTAATTCTACTTCAATGTGACAATATTAAATTATTCTAAGAATCCTTTTCTACAGGCTTGATCATTACTCTCGTTTGTTTTACTAGCTTAATTTGAAGACTGGACTTCTTGGAACTTGGAACTATCCTTTAATATCAGCACCTCATGTTTCAATATATAATGTGTTACCTTCCTTTGGCAGGGAATTCTTGTGTGAAGACATCATTCCAGGATTGCCAGATGACTTAGCTTTGAGGTGCTTGGCAAAGATACCACATGGATATCATGGAATTTTGGAAACTGTGTGTAAAAAATGGAGGCACATTTTAAGGAGTTCGGAATACTCTCTTGTAAAATCTGAGGAAGGTTATTGTGGTAACTGGTTGTTTGTTTCCACAGAAAATGGATTTTGTTCTCAGTGGATTGCGTATGATCCAGATGCTAATAAATGGCATCCTATGCCCGAATTACCTGGGGAGGTTTTTGGTGCAATCCGCCATGGGTTTTCATGTGTTAGTATATCCAAGAGATTCTTAGTGATTGGTGGATATTTTCAATCCCTCCTATCTATTGCTTCAAAATTTTCTGCAATGAATGATGTAATAAAATTTGACCCATTCAAGAAGCAGTGGAGTAGGGCAGCATCTATGCGAACGGCAAGGAGCAACTTTGCATGTGCTGTCATTGGTGGAAACGTTTATGTGGTTGGAGGGTGTAGTTCGTCTGAAACTGGCTGCCTAGCTTTAGCTGAAGTCTATGATCCTTTAGAGGACAGGTAAATATCTATTTATTTATAATTAGAGTCTATGGTTTGTAACAATGATGTTTTGTTTTTCTTGTGGTATCTCTTTGGTATTTAGGGTTCTCTATCCTTGTATGAGATAACCTGCATGATGCCCAATGCCCCTGTCTGGAGTTTGTTTACTTTTAGTTATATGAGAAGAGGAATTTGATCGTGGTAATGTTGCTTTAATAGTTCAAAGCTTTATTGGGCCCTTCAGTCTTAAGTATTCTTCTCTAGCTAATAATTATCTAGCATATGCTTAAGCATGAAAACATTTTTTGAATAGCCAATTGTACACTCTTATTGTTAATTTACATATTCCTTTAGATGCCAACCCCCCATAGTTGGGATAGGGCTCAGATGATACTGACATGTTCTTTAGATCGTTTTGTTGTGTGAGATGAAAGTAATGAAACAAATATTTTTCGGAACCATGTTAGAATCAGATAAGGCATCAAAATGGTTTGCTGGACAATCCAACATGAAATCCAATGTGATATGAAATCTGTTAAAATTGACACTTGTTCTGAATGTATCGAAAGTGTATGAATTTGATAAAATATTTGAAGTAATTTAGGAAGGCAAAAAACTTGCAAGATAAAAATACAATAGAAGAAATCTTTACTCTGTGTTTAATATAGGATTGGAAATGTATTTTCTTCTACCCCTTCCAATATAATCTATGGACCAGGAAATGATGTGGTTTTTCATGTAGGCAATCAATTGGTTTGATGGAATATAAGATATGGTGCCTTTTTTTAAAAAGCTTGACACCTAGTTGAGTTTGGGAAGCCTTAGATTCTTTTGTATGCTGATTGTGGAGCATGCTATTACTAAATATTAGGAAACACAGCTCAAGACAGATCAGAAACATATTTTTTGTCTTTTTGATGATTCATTTTGACATTACCCTGCAATTTTTTTTCCATTTGACTTATTCAACTCAATGCTGATATCATGTTCCCAATTGACATTATCATAGGTAGGCATCCGTTCCTGAATAAGCTGAATTTTAAAATCAACTAAAGTTCATTTTGATATAGGAGCCTGATTTCCCAACAAGTATACTTGCTATGCATTATCTCTCAGCATCCATAGTTACCATGCTCCTAGCAGACAGACAGGAGCCACAAATGTGTGGGATGAAGCAAATTTAGCTAGGAAATGCATTGGTTGGTGCCCAAAGCCTACCCTCCCACACAATTTAGACTATAAACTCCCGGGTCTTTTAGTCTGTCTCTATGCCAATTCTCTGTGGGAAACCACACATCACAGCGGTGTGTGGATATTGTGAACATCTAGGGCATGCACTGACCATTTGCAAGATAGGCAGTGGCGATGAGTTGTTGTTCCCATGACAGACCTTCAACCAAGAGCAACATCTCGTCTTCATTGTCCATCTTGAGAACGCATGGTGGTTGCCCCAGCTGTGTAATGTCTACCACGCGTAGGATGTGTGCACTAGTCCTTCCCATTCTACATTTCTATGATGATGTGAATTATATACTTTGAATGCTACTTAGTGAAGCTCCTGATTATCTAATTCCAAAACTTTGGCCTTCACAGGTGGGAGGACATACCTCCGATGCCAACACCACGCTGGAAGTGCATTGGCTTGTCACTCAAAGGCCTGCTTTACGTAATTGATGGTGAGGATGAAAATCACTTGCCCCAATGTGAGGTTGAGATCTACGACCCAGTCAAAAAGACTTGGCACCATGGTCATGATTCTTGGCTCCATTCTCGGCCTATGATACCTCCTCTTTTTGTATTGGGAGATTGCATCCTCAACTTAAATGATCGACATCTGAACTACATAATGATCCGAGAAGCCGAGGTCAGCAAAGATGCCACGAATGGCAGCTGGCGTGTGGTTGGTTGTGTTCCCAAAGTGTTGGTTCATGGCCATGATCGTGAACTTGTGCCATTCAAATTTAGGGTGGCCAAACTAGGGCAGGAAATGTATGTTGTGGGGGGGCATGCTCTCAAGTATTTGCAGCTCATGAGGTTCCAGATTGTGAAGCTGAATACGGTGAGAGCATTCACTATTGGAGTGGACAAGAGGGTGGAGTGGAAAGAAGTGGCGCCCATGTGTTTGTCACAGGTATCTGTTATTAATTGTGGGGCTCTAGAGGAATGAATGACAGGTATAACAATCCAGAGTTTTAAAACTCAGACTCGGCCGCCAACTCGGTGGGATCGGATCTTTAAGCTATCATCTTGGTAAAACATATTGGGGAAGAATTTTCATAGTGGCGAGACCACCC